AAAATAAAATATGTATTACTACGCGTTGTCACACACCTCTCTGCATGTCATGTGGCATACTGCCATGCTGAGATGAATTGTTTTGTTGTAATATTAGACACGGATGATGTCCAGATAGTCTCAACCTTTTGGTCTCTAATCTGCCAAAAATAGTCGACATCACTCCATGAAATACAATCCTCATTTTTGCAATGCTACAAATAAAGATAACACACCAAAACCACAGAGCGCGGTGAAAAGACCAGATTCAAGTGTTTAATTATGGGCCACTTAATTAGCAGTTAATTGCTGCCACTGGTGCATAGTTGATTTATCAGTATTGGTAGTTGCAACTTCAACAGCCCTTTTAATATGTGTTAAGGGTATTTGTATGTTTGATATGAGTGATAAATATTTAGCAAAACCTCAGCCCCTTCGACTTTCTGAAAGTGGTACCATTTACAGTACGCACCCGGGGTGTCATCAGGGTCATAACTTACCAGACGGCTCAGGAATCTTTGCAGGAATAAGAGTGATTAGTGTGTACTGAAACAGGGAAACACTCTGGTTTCATACTTATTGTTAATTTTCTCCACAGAGACGTGGGCTGTCGTCAGAGGAAGAGGAGGGAGAAGTCGACAGTGAAGTGGAGTTGCCAAGGAGACGGTAAGAGTTAAATATAATTATTGAAAACCAACTGTATTTACATTTACATCTCCATCCATTCAAAACATCTATTTGTTAATTCATGCTTGTGGGTCCATGTAATCTTTGAAACCTCTTTTTTCACCCATCGTTACCAACAAAGGCAGTAATGCCATGAACAAATGTTTGTCAGTATACTGTGTATGTACTCTTTTCTGTTTTATTCCCATGAAGGCGTCCTGTGAGCATGACCAAGTGCCAGTCCTTGTCCACCTTCAGCTCAGAGAACTTGTCGGTCTCAGACGGCGAGGAGGGAAACACCACCGACCACTCTCACAGCGGCACGCCAGACGTGGTCAGCACCAACACTGACGAGCGTCTGGACGACAAGAGCGATGACCTGCTGTCTCAGGGCTCCGAGATTCCCGCTGACCCGTCTGACCCAACCCAGCTGGCCTCTGACGGGCTGTCTGAGAAGGAAGCTATTCTTCGACAAGTCAAGACCCAGCTCGCTAGTAATGACCGTAACTACGAGGTAGGTCGCAGAGAGTGAATGGAGGGAGAAGACTGGATATAGACTGATGTGTAGAGGCATACAGTAATAGCTAAGATGCAGACAATAGGTCAGAATCTGCTTTTGTGGTCAACATAAGAGAGCCTGTTGCTGTGTTAACTCAGATAATTCATGTTTTTCCTCCAAACCAGGGCCTGTATGATGACTCGGACTGTGACAGTGCAGAGCTGGACCATTCAGGCAGTGCAGAGCCCAGCCAACCTCCAACCAACTGGTGAAAATCTATCACCTCAGCCCACTCAAACACCCGCAGATACAGCCTGCAAATTCCTCTTTTCCTCTTACAGACCTTAGATTACATGGAGTCATGATCAGGGACATTGCAGAGAAGCAGGAAATGAAGGCCTGTGTCCTTCATCACAACCAGAAACACAAAACAAATCCTGTGAGTGTTTTCAAGAAATATCCCGTTATAAGCCCCCCCAGAAAGTCCCATTCCCCTTTAGATAAATGCATCACAGTGATGTGAAACTGAATTGGGGCACTAGCCGAGCTCACGGAGCAGCAGCCCTTTTTCTGTTCCCTCCAAAGCGAGATCAGCTTTGCAAAAACACTTCAAATGACACCTCAGCGACAGACGCCTCAGTCAAAGAGGCCATCTACTTGACTGTCTATTAATGTCGCTTGTCATCTTCCATGTCAATTTGTATTTTTCTCTCCGTCATGAAAATGTGTCATATTATTTCACATGTTGTCACACAAGAACATGATCATAAAATCCTATCAGGGCTTCTATTATATTTTAATGTTTCTGTCGTCAACATCACTGGGACACCCACCGATGTTGCTTCTTGCACTTAATTTATGAAATGTACTGATTTCCTCGTGATCATCGTGTCATATTGCATCTCCTCTCAAAACATTATGCACTGACTAATTTATTGATATTTTACAGTGAATTCATTGATATTCTTCAAAAACAATGTTTACATTTTTCATTTGTGTTGTTTACATCTTTTATTTAAATGTGTGTCATGGGTTATGTTTCCATTTTCTACTCCTGTGTCTAAATAACAATGTAAATATGTGATGTTGTAAAATGAACAAATTTTTAAAATGTGAGATTGTATAATTTAAAGGTGCTGATGTTTCTAATTAGGTGGCGCTACTCTATTTGAACCTCAAAAAGCTTATGGTAGTAGAATGTACTGTAGCTGCTGTTCATGTCTGAGCATCAAAAACAGATAAAAGAGGAACAACATGTGAACAAAGAAAAAGCAATATGTCTGCTCTGGTATAGTATGTCCTGTAGTGTGACAGGTCAAAAGAACCACAGCTAAGTTCAGTCAGGGCAGACAGGCTTTTTTTTTTTTTTTATTAGTATTGCAGTGTTTACTGTATTAAAACGCAATACCAGTTTGAAAATCCCTCTCTGAGCATCTGGGGGTGTATATAACATCAGAAAAAGCATGCTTATGAAAATGTATGGATAGCCTATTGGTCACAGTTTGTAACTCAGATCAAAGTGAAATATTAGAACCATCCACAGAGGAAAAAAAACAACAAAACAAAGACATTTAAAGACTTCAGTTTAATGACTGAAGGCATGTGGATAACAGGGACACAAAACACCAAAATGAATCTCAGAATAATTACAGAATGATATTGCATTCATCATTCTGGCCTCACTATGTTTGTACCAGGAAGAAGGATGATTAGAGTTTAGATCATTTGGCTCACATCCTTTTGAAAATTTGGATCTAAAATTTCCTGCTCACTCATAAAATCAGTGTACACCTAAAAATATGACATCCTAATTTGTCCACTTTTACTTTGTCTTCCCCCAACATAACAGATTGACTTAGATGGGGAAGCATTACAAGACCATGATGTGGTTCATCGGTTTACAGTCCTCACCAGCTTAAATTTTGTCCAACGTCATTTGTCACTAATTCGTAAGGGCTCCTTCATAATACACAGTATGAACTCTGGTTTTGATGTACTTGTGTCCCTCAACAAGCCTTCATGTGTGCATATGGTTCAATCTGACTGTACAACAGCACATTACATCCTGTTCCATTCATTTATGACTGATCAGGTTCCACTCAATAAGCTAGAAATGGCAGCTTCTATTTTTTTAAATCTGGTGTTAAGTTTTTAACTTTCAATTTGTAAAGCATTTTAGGCTGATTGTACCCCCAATATTTAAAGCTAGAAATCCTTCTGCAGGATAAGATGTTGCCAAAAAGCAAACCTACTGCCCTCTAGTGTCTCGATTGTGGCGGTACTTGTGTTTCCCACAATGCCGATTGAAACAACCCTGTATGAACTGAAACGTTTGCTTTTTATACTGCATTATTGTAACTGTACAATAAATATATTTAAGAAACAATTTAAAATAAAATCAAACCTGTAAAATCTCAACTTGTGTGTTCGATACACTTCAGATGCCGACAAAATTCTCAAGACAAGTTGTGGTTTGAGCATTTCACATCTTTATTTCTGTATTTTTTAAACAATGTTGTGGCACCCAGGTCTACAGTCTCAAAAACGTGCACAAAAGTTTTTCTTTCCTGCAAATAAAAAATAAAATAAATTCTGACTTGAGCAAAGCAAAGAGCAGGAAACTAGTGTTAACTCACAACCCTTATTTTGTCTAGTTCCAGAGCTTCCAGAACGATTTCAGTTCTCAGCCTCATCACATTTGATAGATCAGTCAGTGTCCAGGAGTTAATCCCCCTTTGGTAGTTAAAAAAAAATATTTCCTCCATTTAAAACAAATATTCCAACATTTTTTTAAGTATATATCAGTCTTTACAAAAAAAGCGAGGACAACCCTCTGCTTCTGACCCCTAGAGCCAAGCCCAAACCCCCAAAACCTCCCATCCCAGCAAAATATCAACACATGATCTTAGGACCAGGAGAGGAGAGGGGGGGG